GCTACATTTTGATACGCAACATTTGCACCAATGGACGCTCGACGTTGCTGTAAATTTAGCGTCATGGCTCGGTCTTTATAGTGCTGGTCACGAAAGAAGAAGTTATCAAGAAGGAACCGACCCCAAGGTTGTGCTATCGGTGCGCTTGAAGTGCCACCTTGCTCGGATCCAAAACGATCCAAAGAATCCAAGTGGATACTTGCCGCACGCAGTGTTTTAATTGGCCAACATGCCAGGTTCTTGTTGCTGATTGGTCTGCTGTCGCTTTCCACGCTTTCAAAAATATCCTGGTGGCGAGTGGCAAGCTTTCCGAACCCGGTGCCATTGCTTGTCGATGCCTTTGGTGTGACCCCTCGCTTGCCTCAAAGCTATAGTATTTGGGTAGCAATACCCAGGCCGATCCGACGGCGTCTGCCTCGACGCAACCCTGGTGAGGAGTTCGTTTGCATCAACAGGGAGCTTGGATTGCGCCGAACATTGAAACACTGACAGCGCGACGCCATGGTAGAGCTTCCCGCACACATGTACACCAACATAGTCATTGGCGCAATGGGCATTGATCTCCGCTTGCAGAGCCAGAGGTCTCAGATGCAAACTAGAGGTTACCGCTGAAGCAAGCACCAAGCCGAGCTCGTCGATGACGTGAACGCTGTTAAGCTCCGTGACGCAGTGCATTAGAATCGGTCTACCCGACCATTGAATACATGCTAGGACCACAGTGACGAGCTCCTCAGCCCTTTCACAGGCTGGATGCATATAGTGTATCTGGTGGCTACTAGCGCTGGGATTGGCTGAAATCACACAAGCAGCCTCGATGCTGATTGGCGGCCATAAGCTTGGTGTCGCTCGGACGTTTTCAAGCTGCGTGCGCTCTAGTGCTCGGTCCTCTTGAGGTGCCAATGCCATGTCCCACCCTCTACGAGCAGGGTGCGCTTTCGTGGTCGTCAGCCAAGTGCGACGCAGCTGAGTTGGACTTTGTCCGTGAATAACGTCATTGGATTGGATCAAATGCGCTGGAAAAGGCGGCTTTTCAGCGAATCATGTATCGCGAAATCGAAAAGATTCAATAGACTTGGTATTTGTAAGCTCGGCTGTGCAATCGAATAAAAATACGCGTCCCCGAGATGGCAGTTGTGAGCCGGATTGAGCTAGCAACCACGGACGACCAAGGAGGGCGAGCATGGGGCAGACCAAGCACACGAAGCTGTACGATGCGATGGGCGTCGCCACGGACGTCTCGGCCGAGGACCTCAAGAAGGCCTACCGGCGCAAGGCGCTGCAGCTGCACCCGGACAAGCGCGGCAATACGCCCGAGGCGCAGGAAGAGTTCATGGCCATGAAGGCAGCCTATGACATCCTGAGCGACCCCAAGCAGCGCGAAATCTACGACATGATGGGCGAAGACGGCGTCAAGCTTGTGAGCCAGTACGGCGACTTGGGCCCGGACGAGCTCCTCATGGCGATGCTCGGCTCCTTGAGCGCCTCGGGGCCGCTCGGCAAGTGCCTCATTTTCTCGTTTGTCGCGCTCTTCCTTGGCTTCTTCTCAACGATCCCGCGTACGTGCCCTTGCCATTTGAACTCGATCGTGAAGCGTACGATTAGTGTTCTTCTGCCTCAAGATCGACAACGACGTGGGCTGGTCGTGGCTCACGGTGTTCGTCCCGATGTGGATTCTCGATGGCATCTACCTCTGCTGTATCGGGTGCTCGTTCCTGGGTGACGACGCCGACATCCACCAAGAGCCCGAAGACCGTCAATCCAAGCCGCTCCGTCTGCTCGGCAAAACGTAAGACGTTGTCGTCTTCGCGTGCCCAAGCCCACCACCACTTTTTGCTTGTAGACTGCTGCTCACCAAGGCGCTGCTCTTCGTCGCCTGCCAGATCTTTGTCGCAATGAAGCTCCAGCACTCGATTGACTGGTCGATGCACCTCGTTCTCGCACCGTACTACGTCCTCGAAGGCTTTTACCTCTTGGAGAAGGTCATTACGGGCCTCTTGGCGTACTCTGCGTTTGCTCGCGCCCATGCCACTGACCCTTCCTCGACCTTTGGCACGTCCAAGATGAGCCTCGTACATGGAATGGAATTCGCTTGCGATTGCTCATGAGACAAGGTGTAGATGCTGGACATTCTCAACTCGTGGACCATGAGTGTCTTGCGGCTCGCGTTTGCGCTCCTTGTGGCCTTGAAGATTGAAGATATTATCACGTGCAGCTGGTGGATTGTGTTTCTGCCCGTGTGGATCTACGTCATTACGCTCGTTGTGCCCCATGTACGTCTGTCTACTTATCTCGTCGTCTTGGGGCTCGAAGAAGGTCTGATATTTGGTGTCCTTGGATTAGATTCAAACGTACTTGCGCCGGAAGCACCGCATGGCGCACCTCGAGGAAGGAAACGGTCACGAAGACGAGCTGGCGCCGAGCCTCTTTGGTCTCTTCTGCGTCTTTGTCGGTGTCTTTGCGGCCATGTCGCCGTTCTTCATCCTGGCGTACCGCCTTCAATCGGGCGATTTCTCGTCGTTTTACGTGCTCCTCCCGTGGCTCATTATGGTATGATTGATTACCCATGCGCGGGATGTTTTTCATTGCAACAATATTGCTGTGTAGGTCGGACTCGTGCTGGCGCCGTGGGTGCTCATGATCCTCCTCAACCTCCTCGCCTGCTGTTGCTATTGCTGCTGTGGCCGCCACGTCGAGCCCAAGGACAACGACCCGGCCACGCACCATCACGATACCGTTTAGACACGTCGACGACATCTTTGGTTAAGCTAATCATCATTCGCGTGACGACGACACATGTCAACGTCCGCGTCGAGAATGAAAGCCAGCGCCATCTTGGGGGGTGCGGGCCACCTCGGCTGCTCTTCGTCTGTCGACGCGTCGTCTTCCAGAACGGGACTGTGCCACTGCGTCATTGGCAGATTGTCGACATGGGCCAAAGGCGGCGACCACGGGACTGGGCGCTTGAGACCGACGTGCTTGCGGAACCGCTTCTTGGCTTCGCTCTTGCGCTGGCTCTCGTTGGCCTTGGCGCGGTGATCGTTGCACATTCGGTGGAGCGTCCCATCTCGCTTGAGCCCACGCGGGTTGCGGCACTTGCTCGTCTTATAGAGGCAGTAGTACGCGGACGCTTCCATCGTGCCAATGAGGGATGCTGCAAAATGCAAACTGAATTGAAAAGGAGGTTGGAAGAACCCGAAACGAGCCAATCACGAGCACCTGAGATGGCATCTCGGCACGATTTGCTGATCCAAGTCGCTTGCCGTCACAGTAGACGGCGCCGCGTCTCGCACTGTCAACCAAGAAGCTCGCAAGGTGACCAACGCTGTGGGCAGCGGCGACTGGCGATACAACCGCACCACGCAGCCTCCACGCCACACGTGACTGCCACAACGTGCTAGCAACGCGCGCGTGGCCGGAAGATCTCGGCGTGCAGAGACACTGCCGGCCATCGCCTTCGACGAGTAGAAAGGGCAGCATGGACATGATGATACGCCCGTTGGACGGCGCGCACCCCTGGAAGATACGCTTGGCACCGGATACGAATCGCGTATCCGTATACACATGCGAGTTTTCGAGAAAAATGGCGCCCCAGGACCGATCCTAATTTCAGATTGCAGGCACCGATCCAGTGTTGGGCCGAGTGCAGTGGAGCAATACATCATGAGAGGCGACCGGGCGAGGTCGTCAGGTGCAAGCACGGCGGGTGATTGCGTCGGGTCGAGACGCGAGCTTGGTTGATACTTGCGCGATCCTAACGACGACCGGATCTCGCGTCCAGCTCTGCACGATGCTACTCGTTGAGCTACTCGGCCGCGATCCCATGAATGGCGCCTTCCAAAGCACGGCTGCAAGAGGCTGTTACCACAGGATTACGACCCGGACCAAGCGTATCTAGTGGTGGCTCTGCAGCTGGGGGCTGAAACTTCAACACGGGGGCGACCGGGGGGCGGCCTGATTGGCCACGGGCGGCGGCACGGAACAAGCGCGCAGTGCGCTTTAGCATCTCGCACGCGTGCGGCAAGTGCGAAGAAGCTGCCGAAGAAGCCATTCGCGGTCGCCGCCCCGCTGCGAGTACCCGTGTCAGGAGCTCGCTGCACGTTGCG